GATATTAATTGTGTAGTTATGTAAAAACAACAATGTATGCTGCAAAGGTAAACAGCTCAACCACTTATACTGCCGTCACTTCATCTAAACTTGAAACTGAAAATCTACGCAGAAATATAATGTACCGTTCAGATTGGACAATACTTACAGAGTGAAGTTTTTACTTGTGAAGATATAATGTTTCGTTTATCTTCACTGCATTAAATATATGTTTTTATTAAATAGAGAATTCATGATATTTTACAAGTAAACTGCAATCAATACCGATACGGTAGGGTTTACCAACATATTTTTGTAGACAGTATGCGGCCTTAATTTCCCAGAAGGCTTTCACGCATGGGGAAGCACCGGAAGTGGACAAAGTGTTTACAGATCTAATTATCTAATTTTAAGTCAAACCAGAGACATATAAAGCCATTATGTTATATACGTCTCTGGTCAAACGTTTAAATAGTAAGTTTATCATATTAGATTTTATACAATTAATTAAGATAATTTTAGGAACCAACATGAAATAGTTTGTAATGGTAGAAAAGTTATTTCTAAAAATCAACCGCCCTGATAAAATCAGAGACGTATATAGGCCTATTCACGGACCACGGAATTAGATAATCTAATTCCGTGATATATTACATAAATATATTTGTAATATATACGTCTCTGATAAAATGCACCAAAAATATTAAAAGAACTTAATAAAGAAATGAGTACAATGTTACCAATGATATTTAATCAGTCACTTCATGATGGACAACTACGGCAACTATATAAGGACGGGAGGCAAATATTACACCGATTTTTAAGAAGGGTCGAAATCGGAACCAGAAATATAGACCCAACCTAGCTGTTAGTCTTACAAGTATTGCTGGAAAGACATAAAACAAATTTATCACAGATAGTATCGTCCAGTAGATATAAATAACCTATAGAGTACTAGGCGGTTCGGCCACGGATTTACATGGATTTCCTGGAAGCTTTTGATAAGGTACCACATCAGGGCCTACTAACGAAATTAGCGAGTCTAAACGAAGAATCATCCAGAACGTATTCCGTGTTAAGTGGCGTTCCACAAAGAAGTGTCCTTGGTCCGGTTCTTTTTTTTAAACTATATCTCCCCATCCCCGCTATTTGCAGGCGACACCAAATTGTACTATCAAATACAAACTACCAAAGATGTACAATTCCTTAAAAATTATCTTGACAGAGACATATTTTTTTTTTTTAATTTGATTTTTATTTTCATTTTCATGTGCAATATACATCTTCATCAAATTAGCAATTATCATTATCATCATTCATCAAGCATCATCCATCATAAACAATAGCCTCAATACCAGCACATCTCACAGACATGCACCATCCTCATCATCATTCTCATCACCTTCATCATCACTTTTTTTTTAATGCAAAACAACATCTCATCATATTTCATACAATGCATCATCATTATTATCATCATCATCTCATCATCATCATCATCATTAAAGCAATATCATTGTATCGTTATAATCATACAGAGGGAAAATACAAATCAACACTGGTCATTACCATAAATACTTGCATCATGTACATGTGATCATCATCCTCACTGTTATTATCAAGAAAACAAGATCACCTTCCACATGTCACATGACTCTCACATCCTGACATCATACACATAAAGTTGAGGAAGCATATGCAGGAAAAAAAAAAAAATAAACAATAAATTATCTATTGTATACCTGCAGTGATAAATAAGATCAGATTTACATGAATGTATATTGCACTTTATTGGCTGGACAGACAAATAGCATGTAGAAAGAATTAAAGACGTTTAAAGAAAAGAAAAAGAAAGCGAGAAAAAGAAATAGAAACAAAGTGGAAGAACAGGTTGGGAGGTAGCTATATATAGACAAGACATATAATTTCAGCTTTGCCAAGGGCTGGGAGAAGCCTACTTGATATATGAATAACAATAACACTGGTACTACTAATAATAATTTACAAGTAAAAAAACAGCAAGAGTACTCTATATTATAAATCAATTAACTTTTTCCATTTACGCCATTCTATATCAAATTTTTCCTTCACAGAGTCGCCCTTACCAGTTGCAATATATTTTTGAACTCTATAATTGTCTTTAATTATGTTAATTAATGAATGTATATGTAAAGAATTGTGTAAACACCTCATTCTGTATATGTACTGCTTGATAATAATGATAATTTCATTATCAACCCTGTTGACAGGAGGATGATTAAAAGATAGCAATCCAAAGAGAAAAGATTTTTTGTTTATTGAAAAAGGAATAAGTAATGCCTGTAATAGCATTTCAAAACTTTGTAGTAAATTCTGTACTTCATTACATTCCCACAAAATATGAGTGATAGTTTCTCTTTCAGAATTACATAAAATACAAAAAGGGGAGGTAACCAGGCCAATTTTACAAAGGAAAGAATTTGTTGTCAGGATGTGATGAACCACTCGGAACTGAAACCACTGAAGCTTTGTATTTTTTGTAGCTTGGAAAGGAATTTTGAAAATTTTGGCCCACTCTGTATCAATTATATCATCAAAAATTTGGTTCCATTTCATTTTACCAGTTGGTATTGGATTATTCCTAATCAAATCATTATAAAACATTTTTGAACCTCTGGCATACTTGAAAAAAGGTTGTATATTTACTGGTATAAAGGGGGCAACTATGTTGGATTTTGTTAGATCATAAGCTGAGATAAACCCCTTTATTGAAGATGTGAAGCTGTGGTACTGCAGAAAATTTGTCACAATCTGATATTTAAGTGAAAACTCATTAAGGGTATAAAAAGAACCTGCAGAAGCATCTTTTAAAACATCATATATGTTAATCACGCCTTTCTTATACCAATCCCTGTAAAAAATAGTTTTTCCCCCAATACATATGTTTTTGTTATACCAGATTGGTATTTTCAAGAGTAACTCATCCTTTCCTAAGTTGTCCTTTCGCAAACTGTATTTATACCATGATCTAAAAACATCTCTCCAAAATTGGTTTTTACATTTATTCCTGCATAATTGTATATATTCCCTACCACAATTTGCTAGCAAATCAGTATCAGTATAAGTTTTCAAGATAGTCTGCCATTTCTCAGTAGTTTGGAATAATCTTCTTATCCAACTTAATTTTAAAGAACAAATGAAAGCATCTATATTAATCATCTTTAGTCCTCCATTCACATAGTCTTGAATGATAACATCTCTCTTGATTTTATCTGACCCACCATTCCATAAATATTGGAACAGGATAGAATTCAACTTTTTCAGAAAGTTTTCATTTGGATTTGGAAGTGAAATAAAAAGGTGATTAAACTGTGATACCAGCAGTGATTTAATTATATGAATTCTACCAATAGGTGTTAAAGACCTTCTACTCCAGGTTTTTAGTAATGATTTTAGTTTAATTAGTTTTTTGTCAAAATTCATCTTTGGAATTTCATGAAGATTTACACTAAACTCAATTCCCAAAAGTGTAAATTTGCTTTTACCCCACTGTAACTGGAGATTCGGTAAAAAGGTTTCTTCACTAAACTTTTTATTACCAATCCAAACTACTTGTGTTTTTTCTACATTAATTTTCAATCCAGAAATTTTGGCATACTCATTAAGTTCATCAATTGCTTCTTTCAGAGATTTTTCTGATCCATCCAAGATAAGTGAGGTATCATCTGCATATTGGGATACTAATATTGGACAATTATCAATTTCTATACCTTGAATGTTATCATTATTTCGTAATCTGAGGGCCAAAATTTCAACACAGAGTATAAATAAATATGGGGCGATCGGGTCCCCTTGATGACAACCTCGTTTAATATTAAGAGAAGACGACAGATTATCGCCCTGATTAATGACTGAATAAGCATTTTTATGTAAAGTTTTACCCAAGATGAAATACCTTTACCAAAACCAAAGAAATTTAAGACTTTATCAATAAAAACCCAAGACACTGAATCAAAAACTTTCTCAAAATCTAACGTCAATAACATTCCAGGAATATCATTTTCTTCAGTATATTGCATTATATCATATATAAGCCTTGTGTTTACACCTATATATCGCCCAGAAAGAAAACCAGTTTGATCCCTATCTATCAACTTGTCCAAAACAATTCTAATCCTATAAGCTATAGTCCCTGATGCAATTTTGTAAACAATATTTAACAATGATATAGGCCTCCAATTTCTAATAAAATGTCTAGGTTTATCTGCCTTTGGTATACGGGTAATAATTCCCTGCCTTTGAGTTATAGATAATTCCCCCCTATAATAACCATAATTAATTGATCTAACAACAAAATGCCCTAATTTTCTCCAAAAACATTTTAAAAATTCTGTTGTAAACCCATCAGACCCTGGACTTTTTTTATTCTTCATGTGTTTTAATGTTTTACCAGCTTCCTCATAAGTAATTTCCCCCTCTAATTGATCAGAATCAAGCCGAGACAGCTTCGGTACCTCACAGTCACTAAGAAAAAACATTAAGTTTATGTCAAGACCATCACATGTAGAATCATACAGTTTCCTATAAACGTTACTCATTTCATCCAATATATCTTCCTGTCTCGTCAAAATTTCACCATTATCCTTATTTAGTTTGGGTATAATTTTGGAGGTAAAGTTTCTGTTCTCTAAACTAAAGAAGTAATTAGTCGGTTTTTCTCCCTCCTCCACCCACCTAGCTCTAGAACGAATAATACTCCCCTTAACTTTTTGCAATCTAATGGTTTCTAGTTCTTATTTCTTATTTTCTAATTCCTCAATATTTACTCCCTCTACCTCTCACTCTGCTATTGACTTCTTAAGAATATCCTCTCTACTATTTTGCTGTTTTTTCCTATATGGGGAATAAGAAATAGTTTTTCCTCTGATTTCCATCAATAAAGTTTCCAAAAATAACTGATCATTTATAGTAAATTGTAAATCAGAGTCCAATATATTTTCAAGATTATCTATTTTGTAGACTGGTAGACAATATTGTTTCTTAACATTATCTATACAATTATTTATAATGTTTAGGTACTCTATATCTTGTAATAAAGAATTATTCATTTTCCATAAACCCCTCCCCTTCTTAAATTCATTTATTTTCATTGTAATTTTAGGGAACGAATGGTCTGATCGATAACCTGGGTCTATACTTGAATGATTGACACTAGAAAGAAGATTTTCCGAAATAAGAAAAAAATCAAGACGAGCTTGTCTAATAGGATTACTTTTCCTCCATGTATATCTCCTAGTTTCTTCATGGTGTTCTCTAAAAATATCAACCAAATTAAAATGATCTATTATCTCCAACAGTTTGTTTCTAGCCTTAGGGTTATTTAAGTTTTTATAGTTTTTATCATAATCAAGCTCAGGTTTTAAGACTAGATTAAAATCACCACAAATAATAACCTTAGTATTATCAAAAAATTCAATAGCTTCAGATACCTTGTAAAAATCTGGGTTATCTTGGTTCGGGCCATATATATATTAATCAAAGTAATGTGTGAATCTTCTATTTCAATGTCTAATGCTAAAAAATTACCAGTTGAATCTTTCTTTTCTCTATGTACTTTAGTTTCGAAATTATTACTCAACAGGATAGCAACTCCTCTTGCATTTGATCTAAACGAGTTAAAAAAAACAATCATATCCCCATTCATTTCTTATTAATTCTTCCTTTTCTGGCGTAAAATGGGTATCTTGTAAACAATAAATATTATACTGTTTTTCTCTAAGGTACATAAATACATCCCTGCGTTTAAATCTATCCGACAACCCTTGACAATTAGCCGAAATTAATGTCACACCGGTACCTGTATCTGCCATGAGGGTACGTTATCGAATTTAAAACATTCTACCATCCCAAAGAAGAGTAGTCGAGAGAGAAGGAAGGACAGGTATTGACAAAGTACAGAAGAAACGAATAAAGAAGAAAACATTGAAAATAGGGGAATGTATAAAATCATTATTGAAATGATCTAGGTCTTTGCCTACTACAAACCTACGTACTTTCTATTAACAGTATTTACATACAGCCGCTCAATAGACCTGAAATAGAATACTTATACTAAAACCGGAAACCGGAATTAAGTACATGATAAATCACAAAACAAGGCTACGCATAGATCCGGAACTAATACAAAGATAATAAAAATATGTAAAAAACAAAAGGAGGGAAAACACTCAAATGTTTTGTTTCACCACGCATATTCCAAAAGTATGTTTATTTACAGAGACATATATGGTAAAGGAGGTAAACTTAATTGATGTAATTTATGTCTCTGATCTAGACAATCTTCAAAGATAGTCAGCGAAATTATTACTGATGTTCCACCCGGAAATAATACACAGCTTTTTCAATTAAATCAGACGATAAAACTTAAAGGAAGTATTATATGACAGGCACGGAAGGCGATAAATATACATAAAAAACCTGTATCGGTTTAGCAATTCAAGACGAAAAATTTACAAAGGACAGTGTTTTCTTAATCAGTAATGAAAAAATCTTTAAATGTACAACCATACGTTTTAACGACAGCTGAACGGTGAAGTTTTCACGAACATATCGTACAGATCTTTACACATTCTGTATGTCTTTCCATCCAGAGACATATACGTCTCTGTTCGAGCCTAGGAGACAAGGTAAGTTCTCGCTTTATTCACCTATATTCTTTGGAATACATGTACCGGCATTCATTCTGAATCAATAGCATCTTCTAAACATTATCTCATTCGTCGTTATCAATACATATTTATTTTACGTTTAAACCTACTGATACATCGCAGTTTGAAATTCTCCCTACGTACAGTCCCCTCACGTTGCGTGCATACATGTACGTACTCTAATCAACCCTGTTTCTTTTCATTCAAATCCAACTGTGAACAGAAAATTCCCATTTTTATTTATACAGTATGATATTAAAATGTTTGCTTGCTTGCGAAGTATTGTATATGTGTAAAATCAAACTGGCTGTAGTGACATTGTGTTGTCGGTCGGTCGGCAGCGTGGTATTGCACATGTTTGTTTCTCACTGAAAGGTCCAGACATTGCGTATTTTTCGGTCGTAGCTGTATTTATCATGGGATTTCCCAAAAGATAAAACTGACCACACTGGACGTTGGCTTCATGTCGGATCATTATCAACTACGCAAACTTTTGTTAGGAGTATCTAATCGATTTAATGGTGTCATTTGACAAACTAGTCCCTAAAAGGGAGGGTTCGAAATGTAAATCAGAACCAAGAAACAAAGCTAGACCTGTTAGTCTGAGAGGTATTGATGGAAAGTCAATAAAACAATTTATCAGAGATAGCACCATTAGTCCGTGGAGATAGTAATGTCCAGTACATGGATAAAAATAACCTCATGAGTACCGTTGTCTCTTGTTGCTCAACCAAACTACAGTTGTTAACGGTACTGGATGATGGTGAAGGAGGTCAACGTTTATTGATGTTATTTACGTGGATTTCGTGAAAACTTTTGATAAGGTTCCACATCAGCGCCTATTAACGACATTAACAGGATGAGGGATCAGCAAACTAATGGTTAACTGGATACACGATTTCCTCAGCAATAAATGTCAGCGAGTCTTAACGGAGAATCGTACAGAACCTATATCTCTTGTTAAGTGGCATTCCACAAGGGAATGTCCTTGGTCCGATTCTTTTTGTAATATGTATGGCCCTTTCTGCGTATCCGGTTAAACCAGTTGAAACTAGGTTAAACCCAAAATAAAACGACAGGCGCAGATCTGAACCGAGGCTGACTTCAGGAATCTACGCGATCGGCACGTGTAGATTGAGGGGTTCGTGCCTGTTCGAAACTAAATTGCTTACTATTGCTAGTTTGCGTTATTTCTTTATAAGACAAGATAAAGCCACATATGTAGATTTTTAGATAGTCATGCATACGTTACATAACTTAGTAGACGCGTGAAAGAATGACATGTTATTCTTGATATATTGTTTTTTAATCTCTGAAACTGCATTTTTTAGCTCTGCCAACAGTTCGGTCCAAGAGCGTTCGTTTATTATCGTGGAATATTTCTGCGCCACCTGAACCGTTCAACCAGGATACGCGAATGTAGCCGTCCTAGCTACCACAACTTGAAATCTTGCCATCTCCGTTATTTGCAGACGACACCAAATTGTACCGTCAAATTACTTCAAAATGATTTCCAAAGATTGTCAACAATATGATTACTGATGTCCAATCCGGAAAACGCAAAGTTCTTTTGACAATTAAATCAGCCGATAAAAATTAGTATTATATGACAGGCACGGAAGATCCATGAGATCTATAGGGATCATAATCGATGAAAAATTGAACTTTCGGACTCACATTCAACAATGCGTTGACAAAACAAACACTATAGCAGGCCTAATCAGTCCTGAGACTATTTGTATATTTACATGAACCAATGTTTAAATTATTATATAAAGCTTTAGTACACATCCTGCCAGTGTCTGGAGTCCACAGCAAAAGATTTAGATCTCCTTGAAAATGTCCAACGCATGGAAAAACCTACCACAACATGTAATCGTTGAGCCCAAAATTAGATTTGATATTCTGATAGACCGTAACACGTCTGGAAGAATTATTGTAATTATGATATGAATTGTAATAGAAAATGAGTACAAATAAATGGGCGTGTGCAAGTCTACGCGGGTGGGCAGAGATGGGAATTTCCCCTTTTTATCTCATGACGCTTGCGAATCCCGAACCCGGAAGTTAGGTTTAACCCGTTCACAAACACTGTCATATTCAAAACATTATGTCGTGGTTTATAATTATGTAAACATTGAAATTATAACTAAGATGTGAAAGTTTTTTTGGTTGTAAAACTTCCTTTTTCTGCCGTCCGGGATTTCTTCAATTCAAATTGATGCCATGTCATTCAAGATTGAGGTTGTTGATGGAAACGGAGAAAGTCTTGGACTTCCCGAGCACTTCCTCCGAATTCCCCTGACAGCGCTTCGCTGTAGTGTAAGGAGAGTTATAGCCCTACACCTCAACGCCCCCTCGGAAATCGTGGACCAAGAGACAGGGTATGTCAACGATTACAATGGCTTGGCCGAATTTATCGGATTTACTTACTTGGAAATAAAACACTTCTCCAAACAGAAAAGCCCGACCGAAGAATTACTAGAGGAATGGGAAACAACGGACGATCTGCAACCGTCTATTGGCAAACTATGGGAGGGCCTGTACATACTCGGCAGATTCGACGTCATGAAGGACTGCCAACTAGCTATAGGTAAATTATGTGAGCGTGTGTTCATCAACAACAGGGCACAACCCGGCATATAACGGTAATAATCCGGCATTTGGATACTTATATATCAATACACGGCCTCCTCTGCCCCGGCCGGACGTAATATATAAAAAAAAACAAGAGGCCCATGGGCCTTAACGGTCACCTGATATATTTATGCAGAGAGTTACATGAACAGAAATATTATTCAAAGTGACAAAAAAATATAAAACCACCTTATTCAATATCTAGCATACAGATTTCAGACTAAAAAGTATTTGAAACTAGCACCTCTGATTCTAAACAAGGAAAATGAAGAAATTTTAGCACACTGACTCCTTTGAGCCCCACCCTACAGCTCTTGGGGGTAGGGCTGGCTCAAAATTTTCAAAGTATCAAACTGTCAATTCAAGGTTATAATTCCAATCAAGTTATTAACATGTAATATTCAAAGTATCATTTGCCATTATAAACCATAATAAATTTTGCCCCCCCCCCCCCCTCCTTCCCCAGGGGGTAAACGTGAGACCCTAGGGTCATAAACCTTAAGACCCTTCCATCTATGAAGAGTATTTGATTCTACCATATCTGGGTCTTGAGAAGAAGATTTTTGAAATTTCAGTAAATTCGACCCTTTTTGGCCCCACCCATCAGCCCCTGGGGGTCAGTCAGGGCTGATATGTGCTTATTATCAAACTGCTACCTAATACTGATAATGCTAACCCAAATTGAATTACTTCCAATGGAAATTAAACAAATGTTGGTCCAAAATGTGATTTCCCTATATAAACTATAGTAAAGTTTACCCCCTCCCCAGGGGGAAACGTGAGACCCCAGGGTCAAGAAATTCACAATTTCGGTAAAGCACCTTAAGACCCTTCCATCTATGAAGAGTATTTGATTCTACCATATCTGGGTCTTGAGAAGAAGATTTTTGAAATTTCAGTCAATTCAACCCTTTTTGGCCCCACCCATCAGCCCCTGGGGGTCAGTCAGGGCTCATAGGTGCATACTATCAAACTGCTACCTAATACTGATAATGCTAACCCAAATTGAATTACTTCCAATGGAAATTAAACAAATGTTGGTCCAAAATGTGATTTCCCTATATAAACTATAGTAAAGTTTACCCCCTCCCCAGGGGGAAACGTGAGACCCCAGGGTCAAGAAATTCACAATTTTGGTAAAGCACCTTAGGACCCTTCCATATATGAAGAGTATTTGATTCTAATATATCTGGGTCTTGAGTAGTCCGAATTATTCTGACGTTTTATCAACTTTTTTCATATCGGTCTGTCGTCAACCGATATGAAAAAAGTCGATAAAACGTCAGAATAATTCGGACTAGGTCTTGAGAAGAAGATTTTTGAAATTTTAGTCAATTTGACCCTTTTTGGCCCCGCCCCTCAGGCCCCCGGGGGCTTGGGACTAAACCGGCCACCATTTTTGTTGACCTTTTATCCATGGAAGGTCCCTGCAAAATTTCATTGAAATTGATTCAGGGGTTTTGGAGAAGAAGTCGAAAATGTAAATTGTTTACGGACGCACAACGGACGACGGACAAAAGGTGATCGCAATAGGTCACTTGAGACTTTGTCTCAGGTGACCTAAAAACTCGTCGTCAGAAAGCTACGTTATCGCAGCTACGTTTGTAAATATTATCATGAACAATCATTCGTAATCAGTATACTCCTGTGTTTTCAAAGTTTGAACTTGACGTCAGTACATGTCTGTCATGATGGGTTCCTAATAGTAGACTGGAACAGTTAACAATGAGAAACATTCATATGTAACAGTCTCTTGTGTAATGATATTTAACAATATTTTGATTTCCAATTTATTTAGATCCTTTTCAATGAAAATGTATGTTTTATGGTATAAACATTTTTGTATACTTTCAGTAAAAGATGTAGAAGCATTCCTGAGAAACAAAGAGAGACAACAGGACATGATTCAACCTGTCCAGAGCAATGACGGTAACACAGGACTTTATGCTACAACCATACACTTGTTAGACAATTTTTATATTATTTTAAGCTTAAGACGAAGTACAAGCTTAGTACAAGTTGATTAAATCCATGGTAAAATATATTGGTAAGCATTTTCATCACTGCAGAAAAAAAGTTATTGTGAACCAAAGTGAATTAAGTTATAAGTTGTGATGTATGGAAATGTATATATCAATAATATCAATAATGAATGAAGAAATTCAATCTTATATTTCACTGAAAAAGTAAAATTGTTCAAAAATATCATGAGAATTCTTGATATCTGAAAAATAAAGTGAATCTTTGGTCCAGGAGTGATACCCCGGGTGGGGTGAACCTTGAGCAGGTATGAAACTTCAGGTGGGGATCTTGCTTACTTTTGCTGCTTGTGGTGTCTTAATGAATACCACTCATTTATACTTCCAAGTTGAAAAATACCTTGTATTAATCAAAATATGTAACACATCTTGTTATCTGCAGCTTTTCAGTGAAACTGTCCTGAAGACAATAGTAAACACTTAAAGTAATTGTCTTTTAAATTTCATTTTCTATGTGTTGTAGTATCACAAAGTTCAGACCACCATGTAGATGAGGGAGTCTTTCTTTGTAAAGGAGATGGTAAGTGATTTTCTATACAGGGGATATAGTGACTGTATGTAGCAGGGAAGTAATTATAGAGAGGATAGATACTCTCTCAGAGAGATTTAAGACCCAGAATATTCCAACTGATCCACTTATAATTTAAGTTATTTGTTAAATCAATACAAACTGTTGATCAAGGGGAGCATGTGGAGAATGGAGCAGATCTTAAAATCAAAACAGTGTACAGATAAATCATTATTCACTCACGGTGCTAACTCTAATGTTCCATTCTTTGAATTCCTTTTGAACTTTTCCCAAATTGGATATGCTGTTTTAGAGTCACATAGATCTGTAGGTCTGCTTGCAAATTTAGAAACTTAATATAATATAAATATCGTTCCACTATCATATAATACATGTTTATATAAAAATCATTCCACTATCATATAATACATGTTTATAATTACAATTTTTATGTATCTAGTTGAAAACAAGGCGCCCCAGTTCTTTGATGCATTTGTGTCCTACAACCATGACGGGGAGGATATCAGATTTGTAAAGGACATGATTAAGATACTGGAAGGTGAACCGCACAAACTGAAGCTGTTCATTCCTGGTAGGGATGACCTACCAGGAGCTGCTAAATATGTGATGGACGCTAGGCTCATTGAGACACGGTAAGTGGAACATCTTGTGTGGATGATTTACAGATGCTAAGTTCATTGAGACACGTTACATCTGTAAGTAGATAATAATGTGCAGATCATTTACAAAAGCTAAATTCAATGAGTCACAATAAGTGGATAATCTTGTGTCGATCATTTAATTAAAGATGCAAAGCTCATTGAATCATAATATTTGGATAATTTTGTGTGATTGCTTATGACCGCTATAGGCTCATAGTCTCATCAATTGAAATTGAAGTTGAGTCAGTAACTTTTATGTTAATTACACTTTATGGGCCAAACTCTACAATTTAATCACCTTTTTATAGCTTTGCCAAACCCAGATGAAAAGACATTTAACAAAATTAATTCCATTCTATTAAAATTTTTGTGGAATAGTAAAGTTGACAAAGTTAAAAGAAATACTGTTATTCAAGATTATATAAATGGTGGATTAAAAATGGTAAAAAGGGCTTTTGCAAATTCATTCAAGTTGAGTTGGGTAAGAAGACTTTATCATTCACCAGGTAAATGGTTTTCGATATTAAAAACTTGTGTAAATGCAGATTTCCTACTTAATATTTGAGGTGAGTATGTACAAAACTGTCAAAATATTTGTAACAATAAATTTTGGAAAGACGTTTTTAAAGCATGGTATAATTTACATATTTCAAAAGAAATGACTATCAGACAGGAGAAGTCAGTGTTAGAAATACCTCTCTGGTTCAATAAGACATTACTATATCAGGAAACCCTGTTTTTTTATAAACAATGGTATACAAAAGGAGTAAGGACCATAGCTGACTTGCTAAAGGCTGATAACATTGGTACTTTTTTCACTTTTGAAGATTTTCTGCATACATGTATACAATGTGACAACCAATTTTCTTAGATACCAAGGGATAACATCTTCTGCTAAAGCCTTTTTAGCTCACCTGGCCCAAAGGGCCATGTGAGCTTGTGCCGAACTGCGTTGTCCATCGTCCGCCACCCGTCCGTCCATCTGTCGTCCGTCCGTCAACCTTTTTTTTTTCATGACTTCTTCTGAAGAATTGTAGGACCTAGGGTCATGCTATTTGGCCAGTAGGTACCTGGGATGGAGTACTATAAAGTTTCCTGACTAAAATGACCTTGACCTACATTAAAGGTCACAGGGGTCAAATATGTTAAAAACTTCAAACAGCAATATCCTAAGAACCATTTGGACTAGAGTCATGATACTTGGGTATGTTATGTAAACCAGCAGTGCAAATCTTTTCTTTGATTACAATAATGAGGTCAAAGGTCAACTTTAAGTGCTAGTCGGGGGTCAAATGTCAACTTATGTTAAAAGCTTTAACAATCTTCTTCTCAAGTTCCATAAGGCACAGAGTCATGATATTTGACCAGTAGGTACCTGGTAGGGAGTGCTATACATTTTCCTCATTAAAATGACCTTGACCTAGATTAAAGGTCACAGGGGTCAGATATGTTTAAATTTCAAACAACGATATCCTAAGAAGCATTTGGTCTATAATCATGATACTTGGGTATGTTATGTAGACCAGCTGTGAATCGTTTTCTTTATTACAGTAATGAGGTCAAATGTCAACTTCAGGTGCTAGCCAGAGTGAAAGGTTAACGATGGTTAAAAGCTTTAAAATTAAAATGTAAAATTTCAAACAACAATATCTTAAGAAGCGTTTAAGAGATGTTAAAATGTCTTATGTTTTAGTTACCAAATTTGGTCTTAAATTACCTATAGGTCTGAGTTTCATGTAACAAAAGAAACAGGTGAGCGATACAGGCCCTCTGGGCCTCAGGTTATCAGATCAATTGCCTCTAAAGACTACCGTAGTGCGGCCATTTATACCTTTTCATAAACAGATTTTTCTAAAACATTTCAAAGGATCAAAATATTTTTATAATATTTTAAATAAAACTTTGAGAGAAACAACTGGTAAAGCTAAGTTGGGGAACAGTTCAAACTAACTGACAGAGACTGAGGAATATTGTATAAAATGCCATTTCAGGAAACAAACAATACTAAACTTCAGTGGCTTCAGTACAGGGTATCTCATCACATTCTTACTACTAATTCCAGACTTTTTAAAGCAAAGTTAGTTATCAGTTCATTATGTAATTTATGTAACTGGGAAACAGAATCAATCACTCATATTCTATGGGAATGCCAAGAAGTCCAAAAACTTCTACAAGTTTTAGAGACACTCCCTGATGTATTGTTGATACCTTTTTCTATCAACAAACAATCTTTTTTGTTTGGAATTACAAATGACAATAGCCCTTGTTTCAGAGTTGATAATGAAATAATTTAATAATCAAACACTACATTTACAAAACAAGATGTCTGCATAGTTCTTTAGATATCTATACTCTTGTTAAAATTATACAGAACCACTATTCTGTTCAAAAATATATTTCAAACAGCAAAAATGACACATCTAAACTAAAATTCACATACGAATGGAGAAAACGGGAAAATCTTATTAAACTTGATATTTAACTTTGTTAACAACTTAACTCCGCATTGTATTGCTTGACAGTGCTGGCCGATCATATAGCTATTCTATTGATCCAACAGAAATATAAATTCATCGTCCCTTGGCCTTTTTTTCTCTGCCTTCCATCTTTTCTATAAAAAAAATCAAATGTATGTATGTATTTATTAATATGCATAATTGTATGTATAACAGTGTATGTATAACAGACATATATATGACATAATACATAATGAATACGTCCATCTGTCTATCTGTCTGTCTGTATGTCTCTATCTTCTGTCTCTCAATCTACCTTTTTCAGTGCTTCCTTTCTTTTTGTGTAAAGTTATAAGTATGAGCGTGCAAGTTGAATGTAAGAATAGTGTATGTGTGTGTGTATGTGTGTATGTGTGTATGTATGTGTGTATGTGTATGTGTGTGTCTACATGTAAACATAATAAGATTTCTTCTTTGCTTGTTCGCAAATTATCACAATAGTTTTCTTGATGATGCTGATTGATGATGATGACAATCAAAGTTTTTATTGATCAATGGATGATGATTATGGTGGTGGTGATGATGATGATGATGATAAAATGATATGATAAGGATGAATGGAGGATGATGATGAAAGATTATTCTGAGATGAAGATATGATTTATATGATGATGATAGGATTATTTTAATAAAGTGATGATGATAGGATTATTTTAATAAAGTGATGATGAAAGGATGATGATAATAATGAAATAAATTCCGATGATGATGATGATGATGATGATGATGATGATGATAAAACGATGATTCTCATGATGATACGATGAAGATTATTTTGATGAAAGGATGATGATGATGATGAATTTTGATGAAAGGATGATGATGAGAAAAGATGAGTTGCATGATTTCAATTTCAATTGATATTCGGATGATGATGATGATGATGGTGATGATGATAAAAGGGTAATGATAGAATGATGTAAGATCAATCTGAGATAACTTTGATTTAATGAATAATTATGATGATAAAAAGATGATGGCAGCAAAGAGGAAGAGTAAATACAGTAAGAAAGTTTGTGTGTATGTAATTGTGTGCGTGTGTGTGTGAGTGTGTGTGTGTGTGTGTGTGTCATAAATATTATGTAATAAATGGTGAAAAATAAAAAATAAAAATAAAAAATTGAGACACATTACATAAGTGGGTATAATGTGTGTATTGATCATTTACAAACACAAAACTCAATGAGTCACAGTAAGTGGATAATCTTGTGTCTATCATTTACAGATGCTTATAATATAAGCTCATTGAGTCATTGTAAGTGGGGAAACCCTATGTAGATCATGATATTTGGATAATTTTGTGTGATTGTTTATGGACGCTCAGCTCAGTCCTAGTAAGTGGATAATTTTTACGTGTATTTACAGAAGCTAAGCTCATTGAGTCAAAGAATGTAGAACATTTTGTGTGGATTCTTCATAGACACTAAGCACATTGAGTTGCATACATACATGAATCTGCTAGAGGCTTAACACATGGGAGATACATCACTTATGTTTGATGTATTTTTACATATAAGCAGTTTGAAGTAAACATGTCATACTGTATATTCCATTTTGTTTTAACAACCTGAAGTCAGAAATCAATACAATACTCATGCAAAGAAGGGTAGTAGGCCTAGGGATTTCTTACCATGTTATTTTTAATTCTGAATATTTAGTGTATGTCCCATATGTTTTAGGGTACTCTTAGATTATATAGAAGGGATGTGCTGTGCTCAATAACATCAAAACAAATTTATCTTTAGGTACTCTGTATAATAAGTGCTGTTCTACTTGCTACAGGTGTCGGAGGATGGTCATCATTCTCTCTAATAATTACCTCCTGAGTAGCGCTTGTGACTTTCAGTCCAAGTTTGCTCATGCCCTGGCTCCAGGTAAGTTAACATTTAGTAAATGAACTTATATGTACAAAGTGTCAGTGATAAATGTGAGACATTTAATCTAAAGAAGCTTAAGCTTTACATAAGGATGTTCTGTTCAAGGTGATTGGGTGTGTATAGATATAAATATAGATATACATAGCATGATGACCAAATCCAGAATTAATTGAGGCTTTAAAAACCATGACCCATTTTCCTGTCTCTGGTCCCATCTACGTTTCTTTCCTGTCCCATCCTGCTCTCTGTACAGTCCATCTTTTTGTGCCTTGTTTTATACTCTATTATGTCCTCAGATCCTGTCCCATTGTGGCCTTTGTCCAATCCTATGCACATGTCTTGTCCTCTGTCCTCTGTCCAAGTCATTTGTGTCCTCCTATCCTCTGTTCTGTCCTCCTGTCTTCTGTCCCTGTCATTCCTATGTTCTGTTCTCTCTTCTACCTGTCATTCCAGTGTTCCTGCCTCATTCCTATCTCTGTCCCTGTCATTCCTGTGTTCTGTCATGTCCTCTGTCCTTGTCATTCCTGTGTTCTGTCCTGTCCTCTGTCCCTGTCATTCCTGTGTTCTGTCCTGTCCCCTGTCCCTGTCATTCCTGTGTTCTGTCCTGTCCTCTGTCCCTGTCATTCCAGTGTTCTGTCCTGTCCCCTGTCCCTGTCATTCCTGTGTTTTGTCCTATCCTCTGTCCTTGTCATTCCTGTGTTTTGTCCTGTCCCCTGTCTCTGTCATTCCTGTGTTTTGTCCTGTCCTCTGTCCCTGTCATTCCTGTGTTTTGTCCTGTCCCCTGTCCTTGTCATTCCTGTGTTTTGTCCTGTCCTCTGTCCCTGTCATTCCTGTGTTTTGTCCTGTCCTCTGTCCTTGTCATTCCTGTGTTCTGTCATTCCTGTCCTCTGTCCCTGTCATTCCTGTAATTTGTCATGTCCTCTGTCCCTGTCATTCCTGTGTTCTGTCCTGTCCTCTGGCCCTGTCATTCCAGTGTTCTGTCCTGTCCTCTGTCGTTGTCATTCTTGTGTTATATCCTGTCCTCTGTCCCTGTCATTCCTGTGTGCTGTCCTGTCCTCTGTCCCTGTCATTCCTGTGTTCTGTCATGTCCTCTGTCCCTGTCATTCCATCCCTGTCATTCCTGTGTTCTGTCCTGTCCTCTGGCCCTGTCATTCCTGTGTTCTGTCCTGTCCTCTGGCCCTGTCATTCCTGTGTTCTGTCCTGTCCTCTGGCCCTGTCATTCCTGTGTTCTGTCCTGTCCTCTGGCCCTGTCATTCCAGTGTTCTGTCCTGTCCTCTGTCCCTGTCATTCCAGTGTTCTGTCATGTCCTCTGTCCCTGTCATTCCAGTGTTCTGTCATGTCCTCTGTCCCTGTCATTCCAGTGTTCTGTCCTGTCCTCTGTCCTTGTCATTCTTGTGTTATATCCTGTCCTCTGTCCCTGTCATTCCTGTGTTCTGTCCTGTCCTCTGTCCCTGTCTCGGTCATTCCTGTGTTCTGTCATGTCCTCTGTCCCTGTCATTCCAGTGTTCTGGCCTGTCCTCTGTCCTTGTCATTCTTGTGTTATGTCCTGTCCTCTGTCCCTGTCATTCCTGGGTTCTGTCCTGTCCTCTGTCCTTGTCTTTCCTGTGTTCTGTCCTGTCCCCTGTCCCTGTCATTCATTTGTTCTGTCCTGTCCTCTGTCCCTGTCATTCCTAGGTTCGGTCCTGTCCACTGTCTCGGTCATTCCTGTGTTCTGTCCTGTCCTCTGTCCTTGTCATTCCTGTGTTATATCCCTGTCATTCCTGTGTTCTGTCCTGTCCTCTGTCCCTGTCTCGGTCATTCCTGTGTTCTGTACTGTCCTCTGTCCCTGTCATTCCAGCGTTCTGTCATGTCCTCTGTTTCCTGTGTCCTGTCCTGTCTTCTGTCCCTGTCATTCCTTTGTCCTGTCCTGTCCTCTGTCCCTGTTATTCCTGTGTTCTGTCCTGTCTTCTGTCCCTGTCATCCCTGTGTTCTGTCCTGTCCTCGGTCCGTGTCATTCCTGTCCTCTGTCCCTGTCATTCCTGTGTTCTGTCCTGTCTTCTGTCCCTGTCATCCCTGTGTCCTGTCCTGTCCTCTGTCCTTGTCATTCTTGTGTTCTGTCCTGTCCTCTGTCCCTGTTATTCCTGTGTTCTGTCCTGTCCTCTGTCCCTGTCATTCCTGTGTTCTGTCCTTTCCTCTGTCCCTGTTATTCCTGTGTTCTGTCCCTTTCCTCTGTCCTTGTCATTCTTGTGCTCTGTCCTGTCCTCTGTCCGTGTCATTCCTGTCCTCTGGCCCTGTCATTCCTGTGTTCTGTCTTGTCTTCTGTCCCTGTTATTCCTGTGTTCTGTCCCTTTCCTCTGTCCTTGTCATTCCTGGGTTCTGTCCTGTCCTCGGTCGGTGTCATTCCTGTCCTCTGTCCCTGTCATTCCTGTGTTCTGTCCTCTCCTCTGTCCCCGTCATTCCTGTGTTTGGTTTTGTCCTCTGTCCCTGTCATTCCAGTGTTCTGTCCTGTCCCCTGTCCCCTGTCCCTGTCATTCCTGTGTTCTGTCCTGTCCTCTGTCCCTGTTATTCCTGTGTTCTGTCCCTGTCCTCTGTCCTTGTCATTCTTGTGTTCTGTCCTGTCCTCTGTCCCTGTTATTCCTGTGTTCTGTCCCTGTCCTCTGTCCTTGTCATTCTTGTGTTCTGTCATGTCCTCTGTCCCTGTCATTCCTATGTTCTGTCCTGTCCTCTGTCCCTGTCATTCCTAGGTTCGGTCCTGTCCTCTGTCTCGGTCATTCCTGTGTTCTGTCATGTCCTCGTCCCTGTCATTCCTGTGTTTTGTCCTGTCCCCTGTCTCTGTCATTCCTGTGATTTGTCCTGTCCTCTGTCCCTGTCATTCCTGTAATTTTTCATGTCCTCTGTCCCTGTCATTCCTGTGTTCTGTCCTGTCCTCTGTCCTTGTCATTATTGTGCTCTGTCCTGTCCTCTGTCCCTGTCATTCCTAGGTTCGGTCCTGCCCCTGTCTCTGTCATTCCTGTGTTTTGTCCTGGCCTCTGTCCCTGTCATTCCTGTGTTTTGTCCTGTCCCCTGTCTCTGTCATTCCTGTGTTTTGTCCTGGCCTCTGTCCCTGTCATTCCTGTGTTTTGTCATGTCCTCTGTCCCTGTCATTCCTGTGTTCTGTCATGTCCTCTGTCCTCTGTCCCTGTGTTCTGTCATGTCCTCTGTCCCTGTCATTCCAGTGTTCTGTCCTGTCCTCTGTCCCTGTCATTCCTGTAATTTGTCATGTCCTCTGTCCCTGTCATTCCTGTGTTCTGTCATGTCCTTTGTCCCTGTCATTCCTGTGTTGTGTCATGTCCTCTGTCCCTGTCATTCCAGTGTTCTGTCATGTCCTCTGTCCCTGTCATTCCTGTAATTTGTCCTGTCCTCTGTCCTTGTCATTCCTGTGATTTGTCATGTCCTCTGTCCCTGTCATTCCTGTGTTCTGTCATGTCCTTTGTCCCTGTCATTCCTGTGTTGTGGCATGTCCTCTGTCCCTGTCATTCACGTGTTCTGTCATGTCCTCTGTCCTCTGTCCCTGTGTTCTGTCATGTCCCCTGTCCCTGTCATTCCATTGTTCTGTCCTGTCCTCTGTTCCTTTGTTGTGTCATTTCCTCTGTCCCTGTCATTCCTGTATTTTGTCATGTCCTCTGTCCCTGTCAGTCCAGTGTTCTGTCCTGTCCTCTGTTCCTTTGTTGTGTCATTTCCTCTGTCCCTGTCATTCCAGTGTTTTGTCCTGTCCTCTGTCCCTATCATTCATGTGTTCTGTCATGTCCCCTGTCCCCCTGTCATTCCTGTGTTCTGTCCTGTCCTCTGTCCCTGTCATTCATGTGTTCTGTCATGTCCCCTGTCCCTATCATTCATGTGTTCTGTCATGTCCCCTGTCCCTGTCATTCCAGTGTTCTGTCCTGTCCTCTGTTCCTTTGTTGTGTCATGTCCTCTGTCCCTGTCATTCCAGTGTTCTGTCCTGTCCTCTGTCCCTATCATTCATGTGTTCTGTCCTGTTCTCTGTCTGTCATTCCTGTGTTATATCCTGTCCTCTGTCCCTATCATCCCTGTGTTCTGTCATGTCCTCTGTCCCTGTCATTCCAGTGTTCTGTCATGTCCTCTGTCCCTGTCATTCCTGTGTTCTGTCATGTCCTCTGTCCCTATCATTCATGTGTTCTGTCCTGTTCTCTGTCTGTCATTCCTGTGTTATGTCCTGTCTTATGTCCCTGTCATTCCTGTGGTATGTCCTGTCCTCTGTCCCTGTCATTCTTGTGTTCTGTCCTGTCCTCTGTCCCTGTCATCCCTGTGTCCTGTCCTGTCCTCTGTCCCTGTCATTCCTGTGTTCTGTCCTGTCTTCTGTCCCTGTCATCCCTGTGTCCTGTCCTGTCCTCTGTCCCTGTCATTCCAGTGTTTTGTCCTGTCCTCTGTCCCTGTCATTCCTGTGTTCTGTCCTGTCCTCTGTCACTGTCATTCCTGTGTTCTAGTCTGCCCCAGGCTAACCTCTCTTAGTAGTAATAGTCTCTGTATTCAGTCCTATAGCAATTTGTTTACAAAATTTTATTTTGAAGAAAAATAAAGAATCCTATTTGCTAATTTCATATGATTATTTTGTTATTTGAAAGTATTATTGTTTTTCTAATTTGAACGTGTTATTGTTTCATTATTTGAAGGTGCTCGAAACAAGAAGCTTATCCCTGTCATCATAGAGCCGGTGACAGCAATTCCAGAGATTCTACGTTATGTGACTTTGTGTGACTACACCAAAGTTGACCTGCAGGAGTGGTTTTGGAATCGCCTCTCCTCAGCTATCAAACTGCCACTTGACCCGGCCGCTAGCGGCTGGAGTCCAGGATCACCTATGTCTTCCACTTCAGTTGGATCTTTGTCCTCAATAGCATCTTCACCAGATAGTGCCATTGGGCAATCACTCTCCTCGAGTTCAGATGTTCAAATGGAGATACCAAGTGAAGAGAGTATCAATTCTGACTGGGTTGACTTAAGCAGCGAATTTTCCTCTCAATCAGACCCAGAGATGTCACTGTCTATGTCGCCCCCCGCAATAACATCTTCATCAGCTTCTTCCAGCAAAGGGATGAAATCTGACATAAAAAGATTTTTTGGAGGAATTGGAAAATTGAATTTTGGGGGATCAAGCAACTCATCAGTCAAAGATCCCTCACCTCAATGAGAAATCTACTGGATATAACGGAGTGCAGTCTTCACAAATCAACTTTCCTGTTGAAGCTGTTACTTTGTGATACGTTTTGATTTTATTACATATCTAAGAACACATACTATTATGTCACAAAGAACAAGAAAGTGGTTCATGCAATTGCAGAACTGACAGAAAATGCATGGTGATGCCTTCTCTTGCCTTGTTTTGATTAAGGATCGCTGTCCCACTGCATCTAGGTTATCTGTATATACAGTAACCACCTCTTAACTTCCTTAAGGATCCCTGTCCCACTGCACCTTGGTTTTCTATAAATACAGGAACCTCCTCTTAACTTCCTTAAGGATCCCTGTCTCACTGCACCTAGGTTTTCCATACAGTAACCTCCCCTTTACTTCCTTAAAGATCCCTGACAAGGTCAGTGTCTCTACTCTGCTTGACTGAGTGGCATGTTAGCTGTGTAATAACAACGTTAGGTTGAGTTACAAGGTCAGTGTGTCTACTCTGCTTGACTAAGTGGCATGTTAGCTGTGTCATAACATCGTTAGGTTGGGTTACAAGGTCAGCCTCTACTCTGCTTGGCTGAGTGACATGTAAGCTGTGTAATAACAATGTTAGGTTGGGTTACAAGGTCAGTGTGTCAACTCTGCTCTGCTTGGCTGAGTGACATGTTAGCTGTGTAATAACAACGTTAGGTTGGGTTACAAGGTCAGTCTCTGCTCTGCTTGGCTGAGTGGCCTGTTAGCTGTGTAATAACAACGTTAGGTTGGGTTACAAGGTCAGTGTGTCTACTCTGCTTAACTGAGTGACATGTTAGCTGTGTAATAACAACGTTAGGTTGGGTTACAAGGTCAGTGTGTCAACTCTGCTCTGCTTGGCTGAGTGGCCTGTTAGCTGTGTTATAACAACGTTAGGTTGGGATACAAGGTCAGTCTCTGCTCTGCTTGGCTGAGTGATATGTTAGCTGTGTAATAACAACGTTAGGGTGGGTTACAAGGTCAGTGTGGCTACTCTGCTTAACTGAGTGACATGAGCTGTGTAATAACAACGTTAGGGTGGGTTACAAGGTCAGTCTCTGCTCTGCCTGGCTGAGTGGCCTGTTAGCTGTGTTATAACAACGTTAGGTTGGGATACAAGGTCAGTCTCTGCTCTGCCTGGCTGAGTGGCCTGTTAGCTGTGTAATAAAAACGTTAGGTTGGGTTACAAGTTCAGTGTGTCTACTCTGCTTGACTAAGTGGCATGTTAGCTGTGTCATAACACTGTTAGGTTGGGTTACAAGATTAGTGTCTCTACTCTGCTTAGCTGAGTGAGGTGTTAGCTGTGTAATAACACCGTTAGGTTGGGTTACAAGGTCAGTGTGTCTACTCTGCTTGGCGGAGTGACATGTTAGCTGTGCAATAACAACGTTAGGTTGGGTTACAAGGTCAGTGTCTCTGCTCTGCTTCGCTGAGTGGCAGTGATTTTACAAATTATGACCGTATGGGCTCATCATTACTGCTTTTCTCATAGAGCCATGTTAAAGCAGTGGCTGTATGTTAATTGTAATACCGGAATTTTTCAGCCAATTAAAATCATTTAACTGTTTATGATCACTTCTTTGGTGTTCTCATAGTTTATCTGAACAAATGTAACTATCAACTGAAGAAAATAACTCACATCATTGATTCTTTCGTGCCTCCAATAGTAATATATATACATAATTAGGTTTGTACAGTTTTGTAAAATTTATTAACACAATAATTTTAATTGTGTACCATTATCACTGTTGATCATGAAGACCTCAACTTATTTTCAAGTTGAAGACAAAAATAACACTGAATTGCACATTTTAAGCACTCAGTAAAGCCTGGTGTGCTTATGATATGAAAATTTATAATGAAATATCTTGAATTGGAAAAATTTATGTAACAATCATGAAATATTAACCTGACTCTACACATCTTATAACCACAACTTTTGTTTTGAGATGTTTTATGAACAAAGCATTTGTACCAGTTACCTGTTTTAGTGTGAATAATTACTCATTGATCTGTTAATATTTGGGTGTTATTTTACTATATTCGGTGTAAAAATTACATGTTAATCTGTAAATGTTTGAGTGGTTTTTTTCGTTACTGTTTTTGATGTAATTTAGGACATATTAATCTGTTTAAGATCTTTCCATATTTGAATATTTGTTGATGCCATACGTTAAAATAAACCACATCATGAATAATATTTTCTATAAAAGAGACTTTTTTCTGCATTATACCATATCAACATTGTATTCATCCTCACTTTATATGATCGTTTATATCAAGTGACTTCAGGGTACGCTAATTATACGTTGAATTCACCTTTAGAAAATGTTTGTTGGCTTATGCGAGGTGTGGCATCCGTCCATCGTTCGCCCAGCATCAACACCTTAATTCCTATTAAACATCGAGTCCTGATACTTTGTTGCTTTAACCTTGACCCATTTTTAAGGTCATGTTTAAAATATGCTAAAAATCTTCAAATCATTTCACCTAAACATCCTTCAGGTCTAGAGGACCGATCTTTGGCTGGTAGCTTAAGGATGTCAAGCTATTTAATTTGTTAAAATACCCCTGGTTGAAGTCACAAAAATGATCATGTGTTCACAGCTCCGAGTCACAACAATTAGAACTCAGATGTGTGATGGAAACAAGACTGACAGTTTATAAATAAATTTACTAGGGATGAAACGAGACTGACAGTTTACAAGACAAACAGTTTATAGAGAAGTTTACTGGGGATGAAACAAGACTGACAGATAATGAAAGTAGAACTGAGGAGCAACAACACCACTGAATCCGGTACAAAATGTAATGTTAGATTTACATCCTACGTGCCAACATGTTTCAGCCAAAGGGAGGCCATCTTCAGAGCACAGTTACATGATGTTTACAACTATGGTACAATGACAATAAAGGTCAAGTTATAGATAAATATAAGTTTACTGGGGATGAAACAATGAAATATAGCAATAATTTCTGTATCATCAGATAGGAAGAGCCGTGTAGTAAAATGTCTTGAAGTAGGTTATTTAAATTGTTATATCACACAGATTCGTATCCGACACGTCACGTAATGGCAAAATATCAGTTATATATATATATATATATCAGATTCGTATCCGACACGTCCAGTGATGGCAGAATATCATAATATACATACATATATCAGATTCGTATCCGACACGTCCAGTGATGGCAGAATATCACTTATATATTGTAGGTGTGAACTGGAATAATTTGGTTCTTCCATGAGGTGATGGTATACACGTACAAAACGTAGTTTTAAAAAGTTTGCAAATTTATAATTAGCATTTATGATACCTGAGATACATTAGAGGTGTTTTCATATTCTGTTTATTCAGAAAAAGAGAGATCACTTAGAATGTGTAACAATTGTTAATTTTGATATTTGTAATTAAACACACAGTATATTAATTTGTGACAAATGAATAGTCAAACTAAGTGTTTTTATTTCTTATTTTGGTGGCAGTAAATTAAACCCAGTGTATAGCTTGTGTACAGTAGATGTGAACTTTCACACTGGTTATCTTTTTGGTAGACGTGAATATGTTTATTTTGTTAGACATGAACAGTCACACTATAGAGAGTTATATAATACACACATATTAGTGACACTGTAGGGTTATTTGTTACACACATATTAGTTACACTGTAGGGTTATTTGTTACCCACAGATTAGTTACACTGTAGGGTTATTTGTTACGCACAGATTAGTTACACTGTCGGGTTATTTGTTACCCACAGGTTAGTTATACTGTAGGGTTATTTGTTACGCACAGATTAGTTACACTGTAGGGTTATTTGTTACCCACAGATTAGTTATACTGTAGGGTTATTTGTTACCCACAGATCAGTTACACTGTATGGTTATTTGGTGCACACATATTAGTTACAATGTAGTTTTTTTTAGTACACATAGATTAGTTAAACTGTAGGGTTATTTGTTACACAGATAGCAGTGTACAGTAGCATACGGTGTCCATGGGTGATACTTTTGTACAATTAATAACCCCTGTAAAATTGGTATATACATGATGAATTGGACTATGTGGGCTTTACATTTTAAAAAAAATCAAATTTTGCTTGAGACTACATTTTTAGGGTTATTTAGTACACACCGTTTGGTTACACTGTAGGGTTATTTGTCATGATGGACAACTACGGCAGGTACGTATTGAGGTAAACATTACAACGATATTTAAGAAGAGTCGAAATCAGAACCAGGAGAGCTAGCTGTTAGTCTTCCAAGCATTGTTGGAAAGACTTTAAAAATTAATCAGAGATAGTATTGTCCAGTACATGGATAAAAACAACCTATTATTCTATTATGGCCCTTTCCCGAGGGAACTTTTTACTTATAGTGTTGTCTGGAGAGGTATAGTGCCCTCGCAAACGGCGAGGGCACTATACCTCTCCAGACAACACTATAAGTAAAAAGTTCCCTCGGGAATGGGCCATAATAGATTTAGTACATCACATGACTGTCTTTTGACAATAAAAAGTAACATATTTAATATAATTAACAACAAATGTCAATAAGATATTTTTTTGAGTAGATCTCTCATTTTTTGTTGCGTATTCAATTCACTGGTTTGAATCACCGCTAGGTCACATACGGTTCCCCTTTTCAGTAGGATGTCTTTAAGGACTGCGACGTCAAATGGTGTCGTCTGCTTCATCTTTATGTATTGCTGAGCCTCTGCGAAGCAATCGGCATGCCTTGGCCCGAAATTCGATTTTGGCAGACGACAACAATAAAGTGAAATTAGAATATATACAGCGCCCCCTAGGAGAAGGGGCGCAACTCTTAGCGTCACGCTACTTTTCCCGCCGTCTCGGCGGTCCAAAAAAAGGTATAGTGCCCGTCTCCAGGTATAGTTCCCGTTGCCAAGGGCGGATGCTAACTATACCAAATAGAACAAGGGTAGTTATCCAATAGCTGTCCTAGAAATTATCATGGCCTTTCCCGAGGGAACTGTTCTCTTATAGTGTTGTCTGGGGAGGTATAGTGCCCGAGCCGTATGTCCATAATAGATTTAGTACATCACATGACTGCCATTTGACAATAAAAAGACAAACACAAGGAAATGCATTGCGTATATTGGCATAGAAATCCGCCAACACACCGTTAAATTCACTGCATTGATTCGTCGCAAGATCACATACAGTTCCCTTTTCCAGGAGGAACTCTTTAAGGAATGTGACTGCAAATTGTGTCGCCTGCTTCGTTTTCATACATTGCTGAGCCTTGGTATAGTTAGCATCCACCCTTGATGACGGGAACTATACCTGGAGACGGGACCGCTGAGACTGCGGGAAAAGTAGCGCGACGCCAAGAGTTGCGCCCCTTCTCCTAGGGGGCGCTGTACATGTTCTACTTTCAGTTCATTGTTGTCGTCTGCCAAAATGGCTTCGAGATTCGGGACCGGGAATGCCGATTGCTTTGCAGAGGCTCAGCAATGTATGAAAACGAAGCAGGCGACACAATTTGCAGTCACAGTTAGTACAGTCATGTGATGTACTAAATCTATTATGACCCTTTCCCTCGGGAACAGTTCTCTTATAGTGTTGTCTGGGGAGGTATAGTGCCCTCGCCTAACGGCTCGGGCACTATACCTCCCCAGACAACACTATAAGAGAACAGTTCCCTCGGGAAAGGGCCATAATAGAATAATAGTACATCACATGATAATTACTAGGATACCTATTGGATAACTACCCTTGCTCTATTTGGTATAGTTAGCATCCGCCCTTGACGACGGGAACTATACCTGGAGACGGGCACTATACCTTTTTTTTGGACCGCTGAGACTGCGGGAAAAGTAGCGTGACGCCAAGAGTTGCGCCCCTTCTCCTAGGGGGCGCTGTACATATTCTACTTTCAGTTCATTGTTGTCGTCTGCCAAAATGGCTTCGAGATTCGGGACCGGGAATGCCGATTGCTTTGCAGAGGCTCAGCAATGTATGAAAACGAAGCAGGCGACACAATTTGCAGTCACAGTTAGTACAGTCATGTGATGTACTAAATCTATTATGACCCTTTCCCTCGGGAACAGTTCTCTTATAGTGTTGTCTGGGGAGGTATAGTGCCCTCGCCTGTCGGCTCGGGCACTATACCTCCGCAGACAACACTTTAAGAGAACATTTCCCTCGGGAAAGGGCCATAATAGAATATTATTTACGTGGATTTCGTGAAAACTTTTGATAAGGTTCCACATCAGCGCCTATTAACGACATTAACAGGATGAGGGATCAGCAAACTATAATGGTTAACTGGATAAAAGATTTCCTCAGCAATAAATGTCAGCGAGCCTAAACGGAGAATCATCCAGAACATATGCCGTGTTAAGTGGCATTCCACAGGGAAGTGTCCTTGGCCCGTTTTTTTTTATCTATATCTCCCCATCCCCGCTATTTGCAGACGACACCAAGTTGTACCATCAAATACAAACTACCGAAGATGTACAATTCCGTCCAAATTATCTTGAGAGACATATATGTTGAAGGAAGTCAACTTGAACATCTAGCTTTTACTTTTTGTGATTTTTCAAAGGCCTTCGATCGAGTTTGGCATAGAGGGTTTAAATACATACTTCATCAACATGGTATTTTAGGCAGTCTTCTTAATTGGATAACACAATATCTTTTTGAGCGTAAGCCATCCGTCTTTATTCATGATTCACATTCTTCTGTAAGAAATATAAATGCTGGAATTTCCCAAGGTTCAGTGTTAGGCCCTTTATTCTTCTTGATTTATATTAACGACATTTCAACCGACATTTTTGCTGACGATACGTTGCTTTCATACTCCTCACCAAACCTAGAAAATATTGTAAGTGAAGTAAATAAAGACCTAAAAACTCTAGAGAAATGGTCTAAAAATTGGCTGATGTCCTTCAATCCTACAAAATCCGAAATCATGATAGTTTCTTATACAAATCTAACCTTTCAACCCCAATTTATTTTTAGTGATACTTCTACCCTTTTAACAGATAACCACAAACACTTTAGAGTTATACTGAGTAGCGACGGCAAATTGAATAACTATATTCAGTATGCATGTGAAGTCTGGGACAATTGTGGAATAGCAAATTCGACTTGAAAATATTCAGATAGACGCTGTACGAATTGTTACAGGACTACCAATATACACAAAAATTGAACATATATTTCATGAAATTGGCTGGGTTCCACTAAGTAATAGAAGGAAAAACAGAAAATTATCCCTATTCTTTACAATTAAAAAAGGTACAGCTCCAAATCAAATTATTTGTGTGACACCATACCAGAAAGCATTGGGGATATTTCCCGTTATAACCTAAGAAATTTCCAACATTTAGGACAACCAAACTTTAGGCTTGAAACTATGCGCAATTCCTTTTTCCTATCAACTACAAAAATGTGGAATGACCTAGATATATCTATGAGGAATTTGGCTTCTCTCAGTTCATTTAAAACAAATATAAAATTAAAGGTATATACATAATAAATGCTTTCTGGTATGGGGTTCCCGTAAATTAAATATACTTCATTGCCGTTTGAGAAACCATGCGAGCTCTCTTAACTATGACCTATTTAGTGCAAATTTATCTAAGACAGCTGAATGTGCATGTGGTGATCCATGTGAAGACTCCTATCACTTCCTCTGTGTCTGTCCTCTATACACACATCATCGAAATCTATTAATAAGAGAGTTACAACCTGTTCGTGATGATATAACTTTAGACTTGCTCCTATATGGCGATCCTAAATTCATTAATGATGAAAATACCTCAATTGCAAAATCTGTCCAAAATTAAATCAGCAAATGCAACCGGTTTGGTTGAATGTGATCATCTTTCTCTATCCCTCTTTTTTCTCCGACTCTACCTGTGTTACTATCCTTTACTTCGTTTCTCTATCCCTCTTTTTTCTTACCCTCTATTTTCTATTTTCATATAAAAACATAATTTATATATATTGCGTAAATTACCTTATCAAGTTATTGTTTATATTCATGTATTTGAAGAAAAGGACTGCGTTAAGTTTTGAAAACTTGTGTCCAATTCTTTTGTAAATATTTATTTGCAATAAAATATGTTTAAATCAAGGAGGATCGAATATTTTTTGAAATCTTCAAATTCCACAACAACTCATCACAGTGTGTGTATTGCATGTGACGTCATCAATTCCGTGCTTCTGATTTCAGGCATTCTCTCCAGGACTTTCTCGCCGATGTTTGGTAGACCTGCGAACCCTTGCATGACAGGAAAAAAAGAAAACAGCATTGACACAGAAAAAAGAAAATCGCATTTCGATGTACATTGACTCAATACAAAAATCGACAAAAAATAAGGATTTGCGGTCCTGATTTTCTCGTCTTCTTCTCTCTTCGTTCTTCTTCTAGACGATTGGGGGAAACATGTTGTGCCCGTACAATATACTTACAGGGTAGTGTGTGATTGTGTTGATTATTTGCGTGTCCTTAACTGTACATTCGTTGTCTGTGTTGCTTTTATATCCGAAAAAAATGAGAGAGAAAAAACCGCGTAAAAATGGTTACTTTCGTATTAATCTGATTGGTCGAAATCTGATTGGCTGAACCGTGTTAGAAGCTTTTAAAATAATATTCTGCAAACGAAATTCCAAAGATGACTACAGCACAAGTGAAAAAAACCTAAAACCTGATTCTAACACGATTCGTTTGCAACGCGTGTTTTGATTGGATACGGACCATGTTCTAATCTGCGATAGAATCATGATCAATCGTGTAAAGTGCCTCCCATAGCCACGCCCCGTTTCTAACCAAAACAATATGGCGTCAAGCTCGCCTCTTAGTGAAATCCCGCTGACAAGGCTAGTAGGCAACAGAACAGAAACGACCGATGAAATGCATTTGTTGAATTAATTAAAAAGTAAAAAGTACACATTCCTTGTTCTTACCTCCCTTTATTACTGAAACGTTCGTTCCATCCGTGTGAAGGCATCTATTTAGATCCGAAATCAAATGAAACGTTTCACATGTGTCGTATGCATTTACACAAAACTCTTCACAAATCTATACAAATAATCACCGATTTTGTCGATAAGCACAGATTGATATACATACTGATATGGAAATGTAAGATCTTGGTCAATAATAATCCAAATGTGTCGTATAAACTTTGGTAACAGGACGTTCACGAACAACCAAATATTCCTCCTCGTCAACATACGGATCGAGCTCTCGCCAGGATGGGCGGGGCCAAATGACCGACTTTGAAAGCTTCTTTCCGATTGGTCAGTCCGCTGCAGAATGACACGTCGCCAGTTCAGGTCACAAAGTATTTTACTACGTTCTTTTGTACAAGGAAGCAAAATCTTTCTAAACATATTAGCGTAGTATATTTGTTAAGATGTGTTAGAATGGGGATAGTACGGTTTTTTTCGTGTCTATATTTCTTAAGTATATCTATATAATATACTTCTATACCTATCGGTCTCGAGTTCAAACCCAAATTTCATGTTCTAATCGCCAGTATAGCCACTCAAAACAACGTACTATCCCCTAAATAGACTAGAAGAATGACATTTTATAATTTTGATATTCAATCAACACTTCGCTAAATGATGATGTAAGCGACCGCGCGATTTTTTTTTCCGGTTAAAAATCGTAGCTTAGTTCTGGTTACGATGTAAACATTCAGATTTCAATATTGTCGTCGTATTTCCTGATTCTTTGGTATCGTTTTATAGAACATTTTTATATGAATCTTTTTATTATATACACATTTATGAATTAACCATGGATCCAGGTGACCAATCATAGCTATGAAGTAGTTCTTGCCCGTTCTTGTCAGACCGTGGACTTGCTACGAAGGGAACAAAAGAGGAGTAAGTGCACTAGGTCTATGTTACGCCGTTTAGAAAATGAATATCAGCAAAGTTTGAACATCATGTCAGTTGTCAGAGCAAAGCAAGTGAGACTATAGTAAACTTTTGAACATTGGTGATGCCATTATTAAAGATCAATTGTTTATATATCAGAGGGGTGGCTTGATGAACAGAACGGCATTTCAGTATGTAGCCCCCTGTATTTTGCCCAGACGTCGTGAAACCTTTTATGTCGACAGCTGATCTAACTACAACTCAAAAATACTTTAAAAATGAGCATAAAGAAGAAAATCTTACCAGTATTTTTCATAAAACTTTCTCAAAGAAGTGTTCTACACTATACTGTTGGAGATGGCTGTGTAAGTGTATTACCCCATCAAAAGACTGAATAATGATGACCATAATATGTGCATGTGTGCAGATAATGAAATAAGAGAGGACAAACAAATAAACTGTTCGTACATAGCTGGGTAAGTAATAAAAACGTTCATAGTTATCAATACAGCTTCATTTGGATAAAATAGAATAATATGTAAATACTTAATATGTGATATTTCCCCCCTTCAAACTGCCAATTTGTAACATGTCTCCTTAATTCATTGCAAAGGCATGACATAGGTCATAGGAGCGTGTACATGTTTTTAACAACAGATAATAAGTAAAAATGTTAATGATATTATATCATAAGACAACAACAACATATGTAGTATGTTGTCATACAATACAATATCATAAATGTTTACATATTGATTAAAACAAACTCCTGTGTTTAGGTCGAGAGCTTATCTCGGATCTGGTATGGAAAACGTCATATTGTAACATTTTTATCATAAACAATGTGTGGAGAAGAGAAAAACAAACACAGAATTTTCATGTTATACAGTAACTGACATGTAGGTGCACAATGCAAATACCCCTACTTTTCAGTTTTTCGGACTAGGAAAAATCCATTGCCAGTCGAAGTCCAGTTTATCCAAGTCCTGAGTGGCCAGTTTTAAGGAAAGGTTACATGCATCACAGCATTTACGTTCTATTCTGTTTACACAAAGAAAAATTCTACAATGAAAAAGCCCAGTACAGATGTCTCATCATTAATTTCGAAACTCGTGGGCTTTACTGCGATGTTACAAATGTAGTCTTTAAATCATGGTCTTGATCCGGAACAAAAAACATGTGTCTGCAAACGTATAACATCGGCTTGTTCATTGGTAAAACAAACCCTTTCTTAGCAGCTTCACCTGACTTGTTGCTCGCTCTCATGTATCAATATAATTATGTTCTTGATTGATGAACAATTGATTTTTGTGTTGAAAATTTCGCCTGTTCAAATTTTGTTTAACCGAATTTTACCGGTTTTTAACCGATTTTATTTTCGGGGCCGCTTGCGCACTGCAAACATTCAAGATGGCGACGGCGAAGTGTTGATACGTCTATTAGTATCAAATTTCAAACGTGTTTCAATTGAAAGTCTGAAAATGTTCAACCTGTCGCATAATTTAAAGAATAAATGAGACTTACCTGTAAGTTGAAAGTTGATGGCTGCTGATGTTGATGACGCTCTAGTGCTGTGCGGGGTAAATATTGTCATATCAACCCCTGTCTTGAGCTTAATATCCTTTATCCATCTGAAAATGGTTGATTTTGTGACTGGCAAGTGCGGCTTATGAAAACTTATAAAAAGCTTGCCCGTTTTCTCATAATTGTCCCTCAACAACTCCCTTCTGTACATGTATTCTCTTAATGTTTGTATAACACACAGGTGAGTTTCATTGAACCTTTCCAGAGTGATTTCACTTTGGTGAAATCCAGGTCTTGTTGTTTTAAGGATGTCTCCAAATCGACATTTCACCTGTTTGTCCATTAGTGTCTCATTCTGGATGTTTAATGCATGTACGCTCTGAGCACGTTGTCCTGTGGAAAGTGATAATAACATAACAGTTTTATATGTTAGCATTTGTAATGTTGTCACATCCATGCTGCGAACATATTCCAAAACAGCTTCAGGGTCCCAAGTTACATTGTTCCTCGGTAGGGCAGGCCATAATTGAAATACTCCTTTTAGAAACCTTTTGTGTTCACGTTATTGCCGCAGGGTTGTCCATCTATTCGGATAAAAGATGGCAGTGCTGATCTAGCAGTGTTCAGTGCACTGTACCCAATTCCTTTTTGAAAAAGTTCAGTCAAATAGTTTGAAAAATCTCCCACAGAGGGTGACTGTCTTTCACTACAATAATGGAACCATTGTGTTGTATGTCTTGTACTGCCGCATAGTACCTTGATCCCATAACGACAGAAGGATGTGTTCAGCTTACGTCGAAAGCTTGAGGCTTTGGATGGATTGCCTGAAAGGCGATATGCCATTAGTCTTGTGTTTGGAAGGCTGGTAGTTGTAAGGTGTGAGTGGCTGAGGGTGCCCTTCTCCCAGCTAAAAGAAAAACACAATCAATTAAACATTTAGCTATTTGTAGAAACCATGATTGTGTGGTCCAATATGGTACTATGAGAATAGCTCCTGTTTGGTCTACCAAAATCTTTGGCATTTCTCCAATAAGAGAAAATGGTGAGAACATGTACATAATTCGCCTGAATGCCAGTGAAGAGAGAAAGCATATAATGCGAAAGCAAAAGGTACTGGCTTCCATGATACATAATGGTTTTTTTTATTATTCAATTTAGAGGCAAACAGATCAGCATGTGGCATCCCTAAAAGTTCTATAAGTTTGGTAAACAGCTGTGCATTCAATTTCCATTCTGTATTTTCATGCTTTATTATACTATCAGCATCAGCTTCTTTTTTGTCACAACCCGAGATGTGTGCTGCAAACAGCCATATATTCTTAATCTTGGACGAAGCCCACATTTCTTTAGCCAGACTGCATGTTACATTTCATAGTTGTACCACCCATGTGTGACACATAAGCTATGGCCGTGGTATTATCCATATTCAGCATAACGTGTACATTTGTTGAGTTTTTACAAAATCCCAGTATTGTAAACCATGCTGCTTTCAATTCTAAATAATTCATATGTTCTTGAGCCTCAGTGAAAGACCAATTCCACCTGCTTTTGGACAATTGCATGTACCTGTTTTGCACAATCTGTTCTGATGTATGACACCTCCCCATCCCACTTTTGAGGCATCAGAGGTTAGTATTTTATCTGGTGAACTATGACAGATGTTACTAAATGTAGTTTCAACATTTATAATCCACCATTGCAAATCTGGTATGCTTTCAGTGGATAGGTACAAATGACTATCAAAGTTGCCCTTTGCATGTTTTAATGCTTGTATTTATCATATTCCAGGGATCTGTAATGGGATTGTCCATATTGAACCCCTGGAAAACTTGAAACCATTAGCCCTATGCAACGAACGACTTCCTGTATTGTGGGAGAGGCTGTGGGTATTAATGTCTCCCATACCTGTTTAAGTTTTCTAGCTTTTTTGTATGTCAGGGTAATGTTTGTTAAATTTAGAATAAAGCCTAAGTATTCAATAATTTGACTTGGCTCAAACACTGATTTTTCTGGGTGAACAACAAATCCTGTTTTTTCTGACAATAAAACCGTGTTCATTACATTAGTGCGACATTCCTGCAATGTGTCGTCCATAAGCAGTGAATCTCCAAGTTTCCTGAGAGTAGAGAAAAATGGCTTGGTAATTTTAGTAAACAATCTAGGAGCAGATGCTAAACCATTAGGCAGTGCTCGAAATTGATACAACTTCCCCATAAATTTAAAGAAAAAAAAGGTATTTTTGATACATTTCAGATACATGTACTGCGTAGTAAGCATCTTTCCAATCTATGGAAGCCATGAAACAATCCTTTGTCATTAAGTCAATAGCTGTTTTGTGTGTGTCCATTTTGAAGTGTCGATAAATTATAGACTCATTTAGAGTTTTTTAGGTTCATAATTAATCTGACACCTCCATCTTATTTAGGGCGGATGAATATGTTTGATATGAATTCGTATGTTCAACCTGTTTACTCAATCCTTTTTTGCAACAATTTAATAATTTCATTGTTGATAGATTCTTTTTCGTGATCTTCAAATTTGTACTTAACAGGGTTTACATTTTTTCCCTTAGAAGATGGGTTGTTAAAAAATTCAAGTTTGACACCTTTGATAGTATCTAATATGACAAAGTCTGATGTTAATGTCCTCCAAAAAGGAAGATGCTTACCCAAACTACCTGCTTGGTAATTCTGAACATAACAGAGTAATTTTGTTTGAATGTCTGACAAAAACAATTCCCAATCATGACTTTCGGCAACGAAATTGTTAGACCTACTCACCTCATCATAAACCGACTGGGTCTGTACCCCTTTTTGATTTTTTTCCCATGGTTTCTTGCCAGACATCTGTGGCTGGGACTGTTTGCACCAACCATGATTGTAACCGTCATGATGATGCCCCCTATTTCCACCATGCTGGTAGGGGTTGGCACGGAACTTTCCTCTGTTGGAAATCTTTGATTGTTCTTTCCTACCACCAGTATAGTCCGCACCCGAGCTCACCCGAATAGCCACTCGGTTAGTGTCGATTATGTCTTTCATAGCCTTTGGTAGGTCATCGCCAAACAGTTGCGTTGTGACCGGGTTGTACTTAGACCAAAGCGAGCCAAACTGATTGTTTAAATCAGGCCAAATCAGTTTTCGGCGGCGCAAGCTGATCTCCTGTGACGCCACACTTCACATCAGGGTAAAACTGTCAATTGACAACTTCAAAAGTTCGTCGTTTTTTTTATCTAACCTAAATGCTTTTGTCTTTTTTCACATCAGTCAATATATGAATTAACCCTCCGGAATAAGACCTTTCACGATACGCGTTTGTGCCTTCTGAACACGAATATCCCGACTTTTTGTGTCTGTTTTTAGTTTCCTCCATATTTCGGGATTCACCCGAGGCGCCCGGAGATTCCCCATGTTTTCAGGTCGAGGATAGGCATCTAATTTGGCCTTTACATTTTCCTCTGACATGCTTTTAGTCACCATATCTGTGAGCAGATTGGCTAGTTTTTCGTTTGACATTTTCGGGTCTATACTTTCCTCATGGCTTAAATCTTGCACGAGCTCCCTCATACATTCGGACAGCTAATCGTCATCGCGGCCCGTTTCCATTTTAGTGCGGTTGGGCGGGCACAACATTAACCTCGTCCGTTTCGTCATCTGACGATTTAAGGAAGTCGTCTATTTTAGCACAAACATCCATCGATTCGTCCTCGCTTGAATAGCAGTCCAAGTTTAACATCATTTCTTGCATTCCTGCAGTATTAGTGTTCATAGAACCCGTGTCATTTACACTGCTTGTGCTGGCAACGGGCTGTGACTGGGTCAGCGCGGACCGTGGGGTGTTTTTCTCTAGCTCCGTCAATTTTGGTTGCTGGTCCTGTCTACCACTTTGGGAAGGAACGCTTTTAGTAGACTGTTTGTCAGTCACTGTCGCTTTGGACGATGATTTTGTGTCCTTGAACTTGCTCTTTGACACGTTTCTGGGCTCCCTGTTGTTAAGAATTTGCCATACGAAGTCAATCTCCGCAACGATTTTGGAAGTTTCCACTTTTTCCAAGATGGTTGCCATATACATTCGCGCCAAATGGATAGTGGTCAACACTGACCCCACATCAGGGTACAGCGCCAAAAAAAAGAGTTTAGGCTTATTAAAACCTCAATATAACTCACAAAAAGTGTCAAAAACTATAACAAACAGAGCACGATCACTATTGAGTGATATTAATGTGTGCACGTTGTATAATCTGAAAAAATAAGGTCAGGTAAAATTGTTTACGTCTGAACCTTTCTGGTAATGAAACACGCTATTGTGTCTGGTGATATGCGCACGTATCTCATGGGATCCCGGAGTACCTATCTGATACACAGATACACAGATACACAGATTTATTCTGGCTGTAGGAAATTGTACAATTTCCTCTGCTGTCAGCTCAATTATAAAAGTTACAATAGTACATATAGATGGTTAAACATATTAATAACATGATTTCTGAGTATTTTTTGCGAGTCCATTACAGATAGCTGCACAGTTCCCTAGAGAACAGATGTTAAATAATAAGTATTATGTAACAGTAACATTGTGAATTAAATGAGTGTGGTTCAAAAATAAAAATGATGGTACGTATATGGGTATCTCTTGTATATTGCAATTTTTAAATGTTCAAATGTGATATTTTCGTTAAAGTTCAATCAATGACCATTAGTATGTGTAACTTCGATGGCTTCCCTGTGGTTATACACAAGTGGTTGGTTCTTCCAATGACGGTCAAGGCTATGTTCAAATGCTCGGACTGTTCGTGACATTACGACCTCCGATGGCAGGCCGTTCCATATGTTTCCGGATATTCAAGCGCGTTCTTTGTTTGAATAATTTGAGTTCGTGTCCTCTGGTGATGGTGGTGGTGTTCTTGTTAGGTGTGATGAAAGTCGACACCTCGGGATCATACTTCTCGGTCAATTTTGTATAGTTCTATCATGTCTCCTCTGGCTCTTCGATATGCCAATGTTGGTAATTTCAGGCGTTGCAGTCTCTCGGGGTAGGATAGATTAGCCAGTCCGGGTATTAGCTTGGTGGCTCTCCTTTGTTCATTTTCTATCGATTCTATCTGTTTAATGAGATGGGGGCTCCAGACTTGGTTGGCATACTCTAGATGTGGTCTCACGAGTCCTTTGTATAAAGCTGTGAATGTTGTCAGATCCATGTATTCCATAGTACGCCTTATTACACCCATTATAGAGTTGGCTTTGTTGATTTTTTCAGATATATGTACATTAAATGCTAATTTATTGTCAATGGTGACTCCAATATCTTTCTCATGTTCTGTATAGGGAAGTTCCTTTCCATCATCTAGGTTGTAGGTGAAGTTGTCAATATCACTGTTGCCAATTCGCATTGCTTTGCATTTGTCTGGGTGGAAAAATAGAAGCCACTTTTTGTTCCATGATTGAGCTTTCAGCAGGTCTTCCTGTAGGCCCTCGCAATCTTGGGTGTTAAATATAGCACGGTAGAATTTTGTGTCATCTGCGAAAAGGTATGTGTTGGTTTCCGTACTTGTTATATTCGGGA